CATCGTATTTGAGTTTTTTTTTTTTTGGGGGATGTTTTTAGGGGGTTGACAAAAATGCTCAATGGAAACTATTATGGATCCATTTCTGACTATAGGTCTCTAGTTGGGACCCGGAAAGAAAAGTGCATATAACAAAAATCCAAGGAAATTGTATGAACACCACTCAGACCCGGTTACGAAGATAGGACCAGTAAAAATTTCATGGGACATCACAATACCCATAGACAGAACAATCAAAGGTATTTGAAAACCAATTGAGAGGATCACGATGAAAAATGAATGAAAGTAACACCATGCCGGACCGACAGATCAGCCTAAAGGAGGGTGTCAGTGTCTTCTATCCTCGGGTCCCCTAGACCCCCCACCCACGAAGATTGAACAGTTGAGGGACTAATAATGATATAGAAATCGGGAGCAGAGCTGAAGGAGAAGAGGATTCATACCCTTTTCCCAACGGTATTAGCACATAAGTTAATGCAATGGATTCGTCCGGATTTTCGAACTCGGCTCTGCGATTCCTCAATCCGAGTATCTTGAAGATTCGGAGAGCCGAGTTCGAATTCAAGTCGAATCCATTACATTCACTTACGTGTTATTACCTTTGAAAAAGGTATGAATCCTCTTCTTCTTAATGTGTTAGACGATAAGGAAATCGAGGCGGGTTAAGTGTTAAGTTGTACAAATATTGAGTTCATGGTCTTTTTAATACTAACATCCACGGAATACAAGGCTCCAGAGACACTCAATCTAGAGGACTACTGTTAGGACGGCAATGATGAATGCGATACAATATAAGCGAACGAGAATGAGACAGGAAGTGAAGGTTATAGGTAATAAGAAAATAGATAGACTGATCCATGATACAAAGAGATTAACATGGTAATTTTCAGGAAAGTATCTACGCGGGAGTCTGCTTCACAAAGTTTCAGTAAAAGCTGTTTATCATTAAAATAAAATGATTTCGCTTTTGGGAACTGGCGTTACTAAAATAGAAAACAGATGTCATAATATCTGAGAAACTTCTCGGTGTAAATATTTCAGTCTTTTGTCAGACATAGTCGCAAAAATAGATTCAGGCACTGAAAGACGCACTCAAAACTTACAGGACATATTACTGCCAAGCGGTCACCCATCTAGATATTGAACACGTTCGACGTTGCTTAATAAGAAAAAAAAACAAAAACACCATAAATTCACTGTAAAAAAGGCAGATTAATATTAAGTCCTACATGTAAATAAAATGGACAAGATGCATAAAAAACGATCTGGTCTCTTGGGTCGAAGCGAAAGAAGAACTTTTCCGTTTCCGAGGCTGAAATGTCTTGTTAATTACCATTCCATCGCCACTGAAAAATTTCGGCGTGGAAAATATAAGAGTTATAGAGCGAGATCACAGAGATTTGATTCACATGGCCCTGTCAAGGAATGAAGTTAGTTCTTTGAATCATTTAAAGGACCCTACCGTCGCAGTAGATATTTTATATCATTATTGTTCAGGTAGACCGAGAAAGCTGCAGCATATGGTCCGGTTGACCTGATATAATATATATAGATTCCTGAGAAAATCCAAAGAATCAGCAATATTATTCGTCATGACTTGGCATCTCCGCTTCAATTACTTTCCGAACGCCGTAATATAGATTCCCTGCAATTTTTCTATAAGTAATTTCATAGTAATTGTTCAGATGAACTCTTCGCGATGGAATCTAGACTTTATGAATTTAAGCACAGTATTGGATTAGCAACAAACAAGGCCTCATCAATTTACAGTTAAGCTGGCTAAATCTACCCGTTATTTCTATGCTTTTCTCTTACTTCTCGTTTGTGGAACTCTTTCCGGTCTATGCTTTCCAGCCAATTTTAATCGGCAAAAACTTAAACGCAATATCAATCGTTATCTACTGTCCTCTTTATTATTCTTCTCTTGTTCCTACTCCTTAGCAATGATTCTGTTTCTAACTCTTCCAAACCAAATACTTCTTTGTATCTCAGTGGCTTTATTGCCTTCCATGCGGTGAACACAATGAAAAAGAAATATTAATTAATGCAATGTTAATCGTTATCTACTGTCTTTTTTTACTCTTCCATTGCTCTTACTCCTTTATTTTCTCATTTTTTCACCCTCCCTTGTATCTTAGTGGCTTTACTGCCTTAAATGAGATGAAAAGACAAATAATGAAATGAAATTGTAAATTTAAAAGAACGATATTGTAGTGTGGGAAATATTTGGCATATCAATATGAATCGTAAAATAATATTTATTACAAATTTATATAAGTTTACTAGTTTTATATAAAATTTGTGAAAATTATTTTCAAACAGGCCACAAGTAAGTTGTTAAAATATTTTCAACAGGTGAAGAAATTAGATAAAGTAAAAAAAAATTGGGGGTATCTGTTTTTTATAAATTGCAATATGAAATGTTGGAGTTGGATATTAATGTGTAATTTATTGAAGGTATTCATATGTAACTTTTAGTCTAAAGATTAAAGCTGAAGAATCAGTAGGACTGATGACAAAACGAAGTTAAAGTAGGATTATATATATATATATATATATATATATATATATATATATATTGCATCATTAAAACTTAAAGCAAATGTTGATTAGTTAAAACTGATCTATATGCAGATTAATTAAGTTTTATCTTTGAAAGAAATGTTTTTCATATAAATATGTGCCAAATGCTGAAAATGTTTGTCAAGCATAAGATTTCAAAGCAGAATGTCTTTAATGTAAGAGGCTGTTAAAAATCAGTTAATTTTTCACCACTTTGTATTTACGATTTTATTAAAATTGTAACATGCTTTAAATGGAGAAAAAAGGAACTTTTTTTTATATTAATTATATTTTTAAAATAAATGTTGTGCAGTGAAAAAAAACTTCGTACATGAAAGGTGTGAGACAACTTTTACTCCAGCACAGAGAGTTAGACGGTTACAAAGAGCGAAGATCTTCTTGAAAATGACGCTGGAATAATGTGTGTATATATATATATATATATATATATATATATATATATATATATATATATATATATATATATATATAAATTTGGCTCCCTGTGCCGCGCCAGGAATTTTTCTCCCGGAATCGATCCTCCAGATCTACAAATCACCAATTCGCCCTTGCATGGAGTATTGCTGCCATATATGGTCTGGAGCCCTTCTGTTTGCCTCGGGGTTCTTGATAGGCTACAGAGGCGGATATGCAATATAATTGGTCCTGCTTTGGCATCTCGTCTACAGTCACTTTCTCACAGATGCGCCGTCGCCTCTCTCTGTCTTTTTTTTACAAATACTTTCATGGCAATTGCTCCGAGGAGCTGCATTCGCTGGTTCCTAGACTCCATGAGTTCAATCGCCCTACGAGGCTGGCATCCCGCTCTCACCCCTTCACTGTCGAAACCCCTAAATGTACTCGTCTCTTCTACTCCAATAGCTTCATGTCTCGCACCTCTCGCCTGTGGAACTCCCTTCCCTATTCCTGTTTCCCTGAGAGCTATAATCCCCAGCTATTTAATTGTAATGTCAATCGACATCTCCAGTTGCCTTGATCTATCCACTACCCTTCTCCTCATTCTTTCTTCTATCACTCCTATCTGGTCTTGCTCCAAATTTTCTGTAGCCCCTTGCGTTCTAGTGGCTCCTCCCCTTGCTTGGGGTGAAACGCTTAATATATATATATATATATATATATATATATATATATATATATATATATGTATGAACTTAATTTAAATACTTCATAAGCTTCCGATCCTTGGGTATGATTAATTAATGATGAATATGTCATTTTCGTTTATGATCGAATTCATCACAATTCTTTTGTTAAGCATGGATAATAATTAAACATTCTTATTGTTCAAAGGAAAGTCCAATAGTGTTATAAAAAAAAATGGGAGAATTCCATTAGGATTAGTTAATCATTTATAACGCCTGAAAAATGGAATTGGCTGTTATATTCGATAGATAAGCTACAGTATGTAAATGTTATAATATACTAATTAAGCTAACATAGTTGTACTTGCAAATATTCACAGAAATAAAAGGAATTCATTTTTGTGCAATAATCAAAAAGAAAGAAAAAGTGGCATTGGCTGTTATATTCGTTGTCATCATTGACAGGTATATTTAGTCAGTTACGTGCCATGCGGGATACACGAATAGGCGATCATGTATTTTTCGATACATGACGTACGACATGACTTACATTGAGTGAACAATAGTATAAAATATAATGAGAAAATATCTGAATAATGAATATTAATATCTGACGGATCAATCAAGGAACAAGAATTAAAATGACACATTGCTACATTGTATTAGAATAAAAAAAAAATGTTTCCTATATATAATTACTTGTAACAAAGTAATAGAAAATAAAGTAATTATTTCCCTTAGGAGAACTCTTCAAAATTTATTTTGGTCCAAAGAAAGTTGAATAATGATTTAGAACCGACTAAATTTCTTATTGTTTATGATGTATACGATTTGAATATACCTGTTCCCTGAGACAACGTAGATTTTATAACAGGCTTCTCCTTTAAGAGAGTGTATGTTCTTGGAATAAAATAATAGAAATGGATCCTTTCCCGATAGGAAAGTTCTCCATGCGATGATTAACCCAGACTCGTTTTGGTTTAAGTAAATTTAAGTTGAATAAATATTTGAAATCGGGCTATATTCAGACGAGTTATTTTCTTTGGTTCCAACTAGCTCAGACTTTTAGAACTGGGACCCATCATGTTGCGTGCACAGAGTGGAATCATCCCCAATTCTTTCCTATTGCATTGGTCAGGAGATACTTCCAACCAGACACCTTCTTACCGAGAACCGCTACGTTGTGTACGCAAATCCCGAGGGGATGACAATCCGATCTCTACAATCATAATCAATTCATATCTAAGGTAAGCATTTATCAATCCGCTTTATCCTCTTACATACATAAATACTTCCATACATCTTCATTGATTAACCTTCCACGTTGGGTGGTTTAGGGCCATATCACGTTGAAATACCGGTTCTCGTACGATCAACGAATTTAAGCAAAGTTGGCCGTGGTCAGTACCTAGATGGGTGACCGCTTGCGAATTCCAGATCCTGTTAGCTTTGAAGTGCGGGTGGCATGGTTTACGGCCATATCACGTTCAGACAACAGTTCTCATGCGATCACCAAAGTTAAGCAACGTAGAGCATGGTCATTACCTAGATGGGCGACCTCTTGGGAATACCCGGTGCTGTAAGCCTATATGTGCAGGTGGAATGATTTAACTCGATATTTCTTTCAAACACCAGTTGTCGCACGATCACCGAAGTTAAGCAACGTTGAGCGTGATCAGCACCTAGCTGGATGACCGTTTGGGAATAGTAGATGTCGTAATCTTGGGTATGCGTGTGTTGTAATTGATAATGGCTCAGAATCGGAAATAAAAGAGCCAACTTCCAATTCCGTTTGGGTTCACTTACCAACAAATAACCTTGAGAAAGTTATGAATCTACCTTTACTATGGGTTAAATAAAGGTATTGTAGCAGTAAATCATTATTATCTTACATACATACATACATATATACACAATACACACATACATACATGTCTTCATTCATTAACCTTCCACGTTGAGTGGTTTACTGCCATATCTCGTTGAAGTAACGGTTCGCGTACGATCACCGAATTTAAGCAAAGTAGGCCGTGGTCAGTACCTAGATGGGTGACCTCTTGCAAATTCCAGGTGCTGTTAGCTTGTATGTGCCGGTGGCATGGTTTACGGCCATATCACGTTCAAACAACAGTTCTCGTAGGATCAACGAAATTAAGCAACGTTAGGCGTGGTCTGTCCCTAGATGAATGACCGTTTGGGTATAGCAGATATCATAATCTTGGATTTGCGTATGGTGTAATTGATAACGGCTCAGAATCTGAAATCAAACAGCCAGCCGTTTGAGTTCACTTGCCCGCAAATACCCTTGAGAAAGACATGAATTCACCTTTTCTATTGGTTAATTATACGTAATGTAGCAGTAAACCATTATTATCTCAAAAAACATTCTTACAATCTACAGTATTTTCTTGATTTAAATAACATGCAAAAGATAGATATGCCGTAAAAAGAAATAAATAAATCTACTTGTCTCTAGATCTTTATATTGGGTGAATATCTAGTAAAGAAAAGGAATTGTAAAAAAGCTTGTTATATGACACATGTTGAAGACTATTTCGGAATACGAGATATGTCTTCGAAATTTTTCACAGGCAAATGTTCTTGTGCTGTATTCCCTCCAACACAAGTGAAGCAAATGTTTGCATTCTGGTGAGGAAAAATGAGACTGATAAAAAAATGAACTTCAAAAGCTTTCAGGAAATGGGTTTTTGGGAAACAAAAAACGTTTACTTAAAAGGTTTATTTTGAAGAACTGCTTGAAGGATCCTAATGCTGATGGTGATATTAGGCGTTTCGATATAAGAAAACAAAATTGGCATTCATTGACCGAGAAGGCAGTGATGCATTCGGTTGAAATTTATAAAATATTTCTCTTAAAACCATTTTTTTTCAAGAAAACAGCGTTTTTAAATCCGGTAGCTGTTATCGCTCTTTCCAGTAGTGACGGGGGTTTCGTTCCTAACGTTTTACTTTGAAGTAGTTTGGAATGTTAACATCTCAATTATGTCATTATTTGTTCTTCGAGTTACATGTATTATGTTTATTGTTGATCTTGTTAGTAATCCTCAGGTGATGTGATTTCTATTATTTGGTACAGTTCTTTCTTTGTGAATATGTAGCGCCAGCCCACAATATTCAAAGACGGATGATCTTTGCCAAAATCCTCAAGTCTCACTCGCTCAAAGCCTTTTTAATCTTTGATTTGAAAAAAAATGGTTGTATACAACTGGCAGTTTAGATATATCTGAACCAGTCTTGCATGGCGCAATGTGAAATCCTCGAACTGACGAAGTTATTTAAGAATATAACTCGAGATTTCAGGTTGAAGTTTTGGTTTTATAGTAATTGGCGTATTCTATGTTCAATTTCATTTTACCTATACTAAATTTGATATAACTGATCCATATGGCATCTGAAGTGATTAGTATTTACTAAGTCCACTTCCTGATTTTTTATGATGGATTTGGAGTATGTACGGACATTGCTTTCATTCCAATTCCAGAATTCATAATGGATTCAAAACGTCGCTTAATCAGTAGAATTTCTTCTCTCATTTGGAATCCATCCGATCGAAATTGCATGTTCTAAGGGAAAAGCTTCGTTAGCGATTTCGTCAAGACATACATTAGATGCAGAAATTATATCATGAAATGTGGGAGGTGTGATGACCTGTGATCTGATTGAGAATGCAGTAGAGATTACAGAAGAAACCACAGTCTAATATCCATTTACCAGAAGCAAACCACCTGCATAAAGATAGAAAATGAACTCAGTAAATAAAGAAAAAATGCGTGTAAGACAAGGATCCGTTACTTACTGAATATTTTATGGCGAGAAGATCCTGAGATAATTAGAAGTCCTACCAAGATTTATTATTATTGAACACAATCTTAATAACAGCATAACGCTATACAGATGACACGATGTTGATAGCAGGCAGAAACACCTTCAGTAACACCTAAAGAAGGTAGCAAAGGAAGGCGAGAAGAAAGGATTACACATAAATTTTAAAAAGACGGAATATATGCTTATCAGCAAACTGAACATCCCAGGATTCGAACTACGGACTGGGGGTACCAAAATAAAGCAAGTACGAAAGTTTAAATATGTGGGAAGAGTGTAGAAAGAAAACAGAAGACAAAGAAATCAGAAGGATCATTGGAATAGCGAATGTTGTTTCCAGTAGTTGAGTAAATTATCAAGAAACGGCGTCATTTTGCTAGCAACAAAAAAATAGTGCTGACATGGTGGGGAGAATTAGAAACAAAAATCTTACTAAGGAGCGAGAGAAAAGGATGGGTAATCAACAGGATAGTGGATAGCAACTGATATTGCTTTGAAATTTTGGCCGATTAAAATTGGTTGGAATGCATGGAACCGGAAGTAAGTTCCACAGGCGAGAGGTGCGAATGTTAGCATCGAACTTACGGTTACAACTATTTCAACTGTAAATTGATGCGATCTCGTCACCAGTCTAGTACAGAGCTTAAATTCAAAAAGTCTAAGTACCATATTGAAGAGCAATATTTGTTACTGGTAAGATACATAAAATTTGACACAAGGCCAAAACGGGGAATGCGGGAAAAGGTACGGTCGTCTTCTGTCGTAACATAAAACTTAGATAGCCACCGAAACATACGACAATATTCCTAACACCAAAACATTCTTACTTACTTTTCTTACTATATCCACCATAAATACCTCAATAGCGGAGAGTTCACTCGAACTATTCCCATGTAAATATTTATAGAAAAGTGTTATGGTCCAGGGCCTTGTACCACGGTGATGGTCCAAGGTAGAACCAATGAAGAAGAACTCGAAAACGGATATGGAATAACACAGATATATTACAAACAGGAGTGTATACAGAGAAGTAGAAAATGTTAGTACGAATAATCAGGTTTAGTAGGGAGAACAATGTAGTCTCGACCAGTATCACTATTCCAATGTCTTGCAGTAATTGTCTGAACGCGACTGCCTCTGACTCGACTGACTGACTCGCTCTGACTGACTGAAAGACTCCTGACGGACCTCACTCCAGACTTCAGACTGAACAGTATTTAGTCACCCCCCACGAGGGCATCATGTGGCACATGGTCGGTTTAACGTGGGATCTCCGAGCCCATGGGCTCGGCCAAAAATATGCTCCTTGAACCCGTATAAACGGGTTCAGGGTCGGTTTACCTCCCCGAAAGAGACTCCGCCCTTCGACCTAGCCTCGTTCGGATTTCTCCCCGCCCGAAGGCAGAGAGTTCAACCGATCAGCCGGTCGCCGACTCCAGGCTGAACGGTATTTAGTCACCCCCCTCACGAGGGCATCATGTGGCACAAGGCCGGTTTAACGTGACATCTCGGTCGCCCGACTTCGGACTGAACTCCCTGCTTCCTCTTGAGGCGCAGTATTTATTATATATGGAATAGTCCATTATGTCATTTTGGGTAAGATCCCATAACAAAAATTCACAGGGAAGCAACGTTACGGTGGTGTGAGTGTCACTGAAGCCGAGGCGCTAAAACAGAGCCAATTATATTGCTGATTCTTCTATGGATTTCATCAAGGAGTTTAGATAAAGAGTAGGAGAATCGGACCATATGTAGCAGCAATATTCTAAGCATGGATGAATAGTATAGACTAATAGATATGTAAAATAGATCCTGGGAAGAAAAAATGTCTCCAATAACATAGAGAACCAACTTCCTTAGAAGTTTTTATACCCATTCCTGTTTACCACATGAGTTTTTATTTGTGACAGTTGTAAAAAAAAATATCTCTTTGGTTTCATGTAGCTGTGAACTAAGTTAATTTTATAAACGACAATGCTAACAGCGCAACAGGGAAAGAGATTCTGGATTACTCTTAATTTCTATTTCTTGGGTTCACATCTCGATCTCTTTCGATCGGAACTGCGTGCCCTAAGCGATGAACAAGATAGGAATTTCCATCAGATCATATCTGGAATCGCATTGAGCTATCAAGTCCGGTTTCCTCCAGATATGATTGGAGAATACTTCAGGTTCCTCAAAACGTTAGAACATCTCAAGCTGCAAGCATCGCAGATATTTCTGAACACGTCTTAAATAAAGTAAATTTATAGCAATTCGTTTTTTTTGTTTTTTTTTTTGTTTTTGTTTTGCATGATCCGAATTTTTGCTTGAGCATAAATCTACTATATACAGCCATAGCATGATGTAAATATATTTCGCTTATAGGATGCACGATCAAATGCACGATCAAATGAAACTGTTAAAACGGTTTCTAGAGATGAATCGGCTTACCGAGTTCGAATTCCGGCCTAGGTTGTTGCATCTTTTTTTTTTTAGACTAAGACGCTTGGAAAGGCATGAATCTATATTGCCTTTTCAAGATATGAGATGAACAGCAGGTCATAATGTGATATATAGCCTTGAATGTTAGCCAGTCTAGGAGAAGGAAAATCTGTATTCAAAACTGTAGCGAAAGTAAAAAGAAATTCCTTCACTATTTTTCCCAAGAATCATAACAAATCATAAATTGTAAGAAAAGGTAGTCTCTGCGGAGATACGGTCCACTTAATCCTGAAGAAATTTTTCATTAAGAAATTAACTTGAACAAAGACATGCCTTTCATGTAAATGAATTTTCTATGGTAATTCATTAATTCGTCATTATTCTATTTGGTATTAACTAACCTGACAACATGTAGTAGCGTGGGACACCGTCGGTGAAAAGTTTGTTATACGCGTGCATATGGGCAAAGGGCACCATTTTCTAATCACTCTGACAGGATTAGATGTTGCGATCCCCTAACCATCTCTATTTAATACCATCCGTGAGGTATGTTATACCTGACGTACCTATTCTTTTATTAATAGACTCTCCCACACATAATAAGTAGTAGTAGTAGTAGTAGTAGTAACGGTCGCCAGTTGGGCTCAGTGGTGTTGAGCGAGTCAGTCGATGTCGGACCTTCACAACTACATTGCAAGTTCCTAACGTTTTATACGTCGAACCTAATTTAGGACGACTTAGTGAAATACAAGCCTCCATTGTGAAAACTACTCTACAACAGTATGTAAACAAGGTTAGAAACCCCGGCGTTA